TGGGATGACAGGCGCCAGCCACTGTGCCTAGTCCTTGGTTGAGATGGGGTCTGATCAACTTTTTGCCAGGGCTGGGCTTGAACTTCAATCCTCCCATTCTTTGCCTCCAGAGTGACTGGGATTATAGGCCTGAGTCACCACATCCCACCTATTGTGTGAATTTTTTTGAGACGGGGTCTTGCTATGTAGTACGGTTCTTTTTGTTTTATTATTTTTGTTTAATTCATGGTTTTTAGATTTTCTATAACTAAATATTCTTTTATGTTAGAAAATGTTTTTTTAAGAAGACAAATGGAACAGAACAACGGGCCTACACTTTGAACTCTCCTTCACAGGGAGCCTCAGAGTGAAGGGTTTTATCAGATCCCAGGTCTCGCGGAGGGCTAGGGAAAGGCTGAAGGTGCCGGGCATGGAGGCAGAAAAGGGAGGCTGGAGGCTGTTAGCAGTCTTCCCCTCTTTCTGCTGACCCATCAATCTGCTTCCCCCAGGACTTGTGCCGGGAGCTACATGCCAAGGTGGAGGTAGTAGACGAGGAAAGATACGACATTGAGGCCAAATGCCTCCACAACACCAGGGAGGTACGTCTGGGAGAGGGGGAGGGGCATGCTGGGCCAGGCTGGGGTCGGGAGAGGGTTGACAGCTGGGTGAAGTGGGGTGGGCACTGATGTGGCTCCTCCTTCTGTGGGGGCTGGGAGGTGGACACTCAGCAGGAAGCTTTGCTTCCCCACCCCCCAGCCCCACAGGGCTGGAGATGTGCAGGGAGGATGACCGCACACAAAAAGCACAAACTTCCTCCCCACTTGCACGTGGGCTCCTCGGAAAGCTGCCCTCTTTATTCACCCACACAAGTAATCAGATGCTTATTACTGACCTCTTACCTTTCATGTTTCCTTCACATCCTTTGATCCTCCCTTGTGCCTGGGGGTGAAGTGGGGGCTGTTATCTGCACCTTCAAGATGAGGACACTGAGGTTCAGAAAGGTTAAGAATTCAGCCCAGGTCACACAGAGGGGGTCCTGGCACCTGTGCTGGTCTCTGACTCCCATTCCTGTGCTCAGTGCTCCTTCAGCATGGAGCGTGCAAACACTGGATGTGTGCAGACCTGGCTCCAGTGTGGCAGAGAAGGGCAGGGCTCCCACTGGTGGGCTGCTTCTGAGCCTCTGTGCAAGCAGGGAGGGGGCAGGAGGAGGGAGCATGGACCACTTCCCTCCTTCCTACTTCCTTCCACCAGGATGATGATCCGTGGGGTGGCTAAGCTCCCAAGAACTCCCTCTGGTGAGCAGACCCTGGGAATTCCTCCAGGGGTCTAGACCAAGGCTGATTGCTAGGAAGGCTCCCTGGGCAGGGACCAGTCACAAGCAGGAGTGAGGCTGAAGGAGCAAGAGGAAGCAGCTGCTCTGCTTCCAGGTCTCCAAACCAGAATCACTGGTTTTTATTCAGTTCAGTGATGGGAATGGCTCAGGGGCTTTATCTGTGCATCTGTTCACTCATTTATCAGCACATACGTGGTAGTTACTTGCAAAGGGATTGGTGTCCCACAAGGTCTTGAGGCTGGCGGGGCTTGGCTCTGGCTGGAACCCTAGGAGTCTAGATCCTTAGGAATGGAGCCCTGTACTAGCTCCCCTCCTTACCCACCTCTGTCACCTCCCAGTGAGCCTGGCTCCTTCTCACTTGTAGATTAAGGACCTGAAGCTGAAGGTGCTGGACCTCCGGGGGAAGTTTAAGCGCCCACCTCTGCGCCGTGTCCGTGTCTCTGCTGACGCCATGCTTAGGGCCCTCCTGGGCTCAAAGCATAAGGTGTCCATGGATCTGAGGGCCAACCTCAAGTCTGTGAAGAAGGAAGACACGGAGAAGGTGAGGGCCCCTCTCCTCAGAGCCTTCCACCTCGGGCCCACCCTCCTTCACTTGTCACCCCCCACACATAGCCTCACACAGCCTCACAATCTGCTGCTGGAGGCCAGCCCAGGAGTCAGAACATCCTAGCAGTCCATCGTCAGAAGAAAGACTTGCTCCCTTCCCTGGGTTACTTCCAGTCTGAGGTGGAGACTGGACACAAAGAAAGCCAGACTGAGGAATAAAATAAAAATCTTGTTCCCAGTGTGAAGAGAAGGTGGAGACTGAGGCTGATGGGGGCAACCACTGCCCTTGTCACCACAGGGAAAGGACACAGCTGCTCATGGCTATAGGGACATGTGAGCATAGAAATGAGAGAACTGAGTTCAGTCACTTGCTTAGCAACAAATCCTCCTGAGTTGGCCAATCTCATAGTGTACGTGCCCAGAATTGACAGGCCCGGTGAGGAGGAATGCTGGGAACATAGTCTCTGGCCCAAGAAGCTGCATAAAGAGAAGAAGTGATCTGGGTGGAATGCTGATGAAATGAAAATGAGCAAGGAAAGGCTTCTTGGAGGAGGTGTCCCTGAGCTGCAGAGAGTCAGATAAGAGAGTGTTGTGGGGTGTGGAGGTGAGGTTGGCCTGCAGTGCATTGGGGTAAGATCTGGCCCTGTCACCCAGAACACTCCATCCACACAGCCTCCTTCTTCCCATGTCTTGACCCATGTCTTGTCTCCCTGTATTGCTGAGTCCTTACTGGCTAGGCAGGGGTGTTGGGATTTCTTATTGTTTTGAGGACACTGATTTTCTACCATCCAGTTTCTCTTGAGCCTGGGGGGGCTCCTTGCTGCACCTCTAGCCCAGGGAGTCTCTGATGTGTTGTAACCTGCCTGCAGGAGCGGCCGGTAGAGGTGGGTGATTGGAGAAAGAACGTGGAGGCCATGTCTGGCATGGAAGGTCGGAAGAAGATGTTTGATGCTGCCAAGTCTCCAACCTCACAGTAGAGGCATGATCTCCAGGTACCCAGAGATGCTCTCTCTTCTTTTCTGGGGCCTCCCAGCCTCCCAGAGTCTGAAGTGTAACTAGGCTGGGAGATTGTGTAAGCACGTGCAGGAGAAGAGCTCGCCCATTCAGACCTGCTCCAGCACCAAGAGACACTGGGCTTATCATTTCTGCTTTGAACCCCTTTTTGTTCCTTTCTTCTATAAAATTGGAGTTGCGGTCCTGGGACCAGCAGCATCTGCCTGTCCCAGGGTAGAAATGACTGGGTCTCACCTTGGGTCCACTGAAGTAGATGCTGTGGGCCCCTAGGTGATTCTGAGGAGCGTGAGATTTAAGAACATGGATTAGATGATCCAAGGTCTCTTCAGCTCTGACTTTCTGACAATCTAAGTGCAATCTAGTACCTTCTGGTAGTGTTTTTACTTATGCACACTGCAAAGTGCCCAGGGTCCCTGGTCCTTGCTCCCAGGGAGGCACCACTCAGAGGAGATAAACCTCCCACCCTTTGAAGAAATAGCTGGAATGAAAGCAGTAGAATTAGGCCACACAAGACCCTCTCAGAGCAGAGAGCATGTGCAACAGGGCAGGGTCTGCCCTCTTCCTTCTGGATAGAGGAGTTCTCTGAAGAAGGTACAGGTGAGGGTTCAAAAATGAAGAAGAAAGGCATGTTGAAAGGGCTGAGAGTACAAAAGCATGGTGGTAGGAGTGAGCCATCACAGAGGAGGATGGCAAGGCCAGGTGAAAGCTAAGGAGCCTGGGAAGGGTCTAGAAAGGGCAGGGAACTCGGGCCCTGGGTAGAGAAGCTGAGGCTTCCAGGAACTGAGGTGGTGATTCAGCCCAGGGGTTGGGTGGGGGGGAGAGGGAGAAGCCCCAGCATGTGCTGTGGGCCAGTCAGGGATCCCTAAACCTTACATAAGTCACAAGGACTGATAGCTTCTCCTCTGTGTTCTATAGCCCGGCTTGCTGTGTTGCACTCTGGGCTCCTGCTTCAGACTCCTTCCTCTAGTCCTGCTCACCACTCTGCCACATCTGGAACATCCCCTGTGCCCTCCCAACCTGCATGCCCTCCCCTTGAACTGGGATGGAACAGACATGCAAGAGAGGAGAAACAGTGTCTGAGACCTCACCTCAGCAGAGTGAACTTCCAGCCCCTACAAGGCCCCACAGCTGCCCAACCACCCCATGATGCAGCAAGTTAAGGACGAGAGCAGGGAGACCACCTTCCCTGCAGCCTTGTGTGGCCTCCCTCCAATGCTGCTGTGACTTGTAGTGACCACAGGCATCACAACCTCTCCATTAAAAACCTGGTTTCTGGATTGGAGGTATGGTTCAAGTGGTAGAGCACCTGCTTTGCAAGTGTGAAATCCTGAGTTCAAATTCCAGTCTTACGAAAAAACAAAACAAAACAAAACATTGGTTTCCTGGTCATTTCCATATCTTTGAAGTGAATACTCAGAAGAAAGGGAAGACAGGAAGTCTGCGAAGAAAGGGTTGGACTGGGCTCCAGGCATTGTTCACAGTCAGGAGCTGGGGATCAGAATGGAGGGCTAAGGATTGGTGGCTGTCTGCTAAGGTCCCCAGGCCTTCTCCCAAGTCCCAGTGACCTCACACTTACACCTCACCATCCAGGACTCTCGGCTTACCAAAACCCTGACCTCTGAGAAGAGCCTGGTCTCACCCTCCAGACTCCAGGCATCTCCGTTCAGTTGCCTGCCTGGCCTATTTCATGCTCTCTTGCCTTTGCAAAAGTGGATCATTTAGTGTTGTTGGATGTACCTGACTGTCCTGTACTAAAAGGACAGGCACTTTCAACCCTGCACCTGCACAGGACATGAGTTGCTTTGCACCTTGGCCCTTCCAGAAGGAACTCCTTGCAATTCCAAGCTGGGCCACCAGGTGGTTCCTTTCCTCTGTGTCTCTGGAACGCTCCAGGTCCTTCTGGTCCTTGTTCTTTCCTATCAATTACTTCCCCTCACACTTCTGCACTGGTTGTGTTCCCCAGACTATTCTTTCTCCAAGGTGGGGCAGCCAGTGGGCTGTCTTCTGGGTCAGGTCTTTTCTCCACTTCCCTGACATCTGGATCCTAAGCTTGGGGTGCAAGACTGCTGGGGTGGTATAAGGGACAGCTCCCCCATCTCCCCACACACTGAGGAGAGCAGAGACCAAAGTCTGGGCCAGGGTGGAGCTAAGCCTACGGGGAAGTGACTGGTCCAGGACCCTCAGCTCTTTGGCTTTGATCGCACAGTGTTGGTTCCAAAACAGGTTGAGCTGTCTGAGCAGTTCCTCTTTCACTCCCCCACCTCCACTGATGCCTGTTCTGCTCTCTGATCCCTGTGTATTACCTGCCATAAACAGACGCTGGTGCAAAGTGCATTGGTGCATTACTGTCACCCTGTGGGGCCCACTCTGCCTGCCAGCCCCCTCCAAGGACTGTGGCAGTGGGGACCAGCAAGTTGGGATGCACTAGGGAAGGCAGCAATCTGCACGGGGCTCTTGTTGCAAACAGGTCAGTGGGCAGAGGCAGACGTGTGCAAAGAGCACACCTTCTACCATGCACACGCCCTCAGGCACAGACAGACCTAGTCACATACAGGCAGCTGGGGAGCCTGATGGGGCTGGTTGGTGCTACAGCACACAGGGTGAGGCTTCATGCCCAGACAGCCACAAAAACCCATCCTTCTCTGCCTCACAGGGCTCCTTCTGGTTGGCCCCATGCCACAGCAGGTCTCTGTGCTTTGTCTCTTCCCAACCCTTTGATAGTTCTAGAGCCAAATCCCAAGTTCTAGAGCCAAATCTCAGTCTGCCAATTGACTAGTAAACTGGGGCCCTGGCACACTGGGTCTCCACCCTTTTCTACAGAGGTGAGAGAACAATCCCGAGCCTGACTCAAAGCAAACACAGGGGTGCAGAGGGCTCCTGGAAGGAGAGGGTGGGGCCCCTAACACGCCCAAGCCTATGGCCTTCTGGGAGAGGGCAGAGGGCCCATCCAGAGAACTCCTGGAGGTCACTGGGCTGCTGCTTCTGCTTCCTGTTTCCCGAACCATCTCCTTGAGGATGAATGGAGAACAAATGTTAGGCACCAGCACTTAATGAGCCTGTGAGGGAAGACTGAGAGCCTGTGTGGGTGGGAGTGCTATACCATAGGGCTCCTTAGGGTAGCAGGAACTCTGTGGAGGACTCTATATTGTAGCCATGAGCAGGGCCTGGCCGGAGACATGGTCTCTGGAATACCCTGATTCCTCTCTCATGGAGGCCCATGCAATCCAGCCTGGCTCCAGGTGAGCAGGGCTGGGAGTTGGGGCTGCCCACTGACTGGGAGCGCCCGTGCACAGCACGTGACTATGTGCCAGGCACGGCAATCACTTAACCTTCACACAGAGCCATGGCAAAACACTGTGACCACCTTCAGTCTGGCTATAGAGGGGGCCCTGAGTACAGAGAAGCTAATGACTTCCCACGATCATACAGCAAGTGGTGCGTTATGACTTTGCCCAGGAAATCTGTCAGCATCCATATTGTATTCACTAATTCTATGATGCTATTTCAATAATAACAGTAATAAGCATAGCATGCCAGATGCTTTAGCAGAACTTCATCATTGCCTCTTCTCAAACCACAGAAGTACATACCACTATCTCACATTTCTGGGGGAGGGATAGAGCCCTGGAGGGCTTGGGACAATCACTAGAAGGTGCAGGGTTTGACAGCTGCAGGCTCATGTGCCTCTGGGGATGTCCTTTTCTGGGAACAGTCTCACTTCAACAGAGCCCAACCAGCCTCTGTCCAGGAGGGATCTGCCTGGACTCAGGGTTCCTGCATATGCACTGGGAGAGTTTCCATATCCCCCTGCATAGAGGAAAGGTAAGATGCAAATGACACCCAAATGGGCAAGGTGACACATTTCCCCAACAGTAGGGCATGGGTTTTTGGATGGAGGCATGGGGGGCTTTTTGGGAATGTCTGTGAAGAATCAACACACATCAGCCCAGTGGGCATCCCTTTCTCTGCAGCTGGGGATGGGCTTGGTGCTCTTTCCTCCTGGGTAGGAACAACCAGGCAGGATGCCTCTGCTATCACCCTGCCTGTCCTGGAGCCCTCAGATGTCCACCCCCCCTTTCCCCATGAGGTGCCCCAGGGGCCAGGGGCCCAAGCCCAGCAGTATGTCTGGAGCACACTTGGCAGCAGGGGCGCTCAGGGCAGGGCCTGCATTCAGGGCGCTGGGGCTAAGGTGTCCTGCTGAGGGAGGGGCAGGTTAAACATTAGCCACAATGGCCCCCCGCGAAGTGAGTCACACTCCCCACAGGGCCCTGGGCTGGGCAGCCAGGGGGGCAGTTTCGTTCCAGGTGGGTGACCAAGCTGCCAAACCCTGGGACCGGCCTCTGGGACCAGTGTAGATGGCAGCTTCCTCTCCCAATCCCAACAGGACTCTCTCTTTCCTCAAAAACACTCGATCACTTGCCAGACTGTGGGGCCTGCACTTTGGGGAGAGACAAAGGGCTCTCTACTCCAAGGACATACTTCTCAGCTGGCCTGTGATCCCCCAAGGCCAAGGCTGAGTTTGGTGGGCTGTAATAGCCCTGTAGCTTGGCACAGGGTGCTGCAGTCACCACGTGGAAGCCTGAAGAGGGAAAGTGACTTGCTCAAGGTCACAGACCTATAAGTGGGGCTAGGATGGAGGTTCCCAGACCCAGTCTACTAAGAAAACTGGGTGCAGACAAGCTATGATCTCCCAGCCAGATGTTAAGGCTGGGGAACCCAAGCAGCCTGACAATCTCTGGTCCTGACTTAGTACCCCCTGGTTCCAGGGACATCAAGTGGCCTGGTCACTGGCTGGTATGGGCTGGGGGAACCTAGCCCTTTGCTCTGGGTACAGGAGAAGTGTGCATCCCCAGGGTGCACAGGCAGGTATTCCAACCTGGGGCACCTGGGAGAGTAATGTGTGAACGCCCATGCCCGCTGAGTGAAGGGATGTGCTGGCATGTGTGGTACACTGCAGGGGACTGGCTTGTTGGCCTGTCAGTGGGGCGGACACCTGTGTGGTCTTGTGCTGATGCTTCCCTGAGGCCTTCCTCTCAACTGGCTCTTTGAGGCCTTGGTTTCAATGATGCTGTGAGGATTCCATAAGCCTCACATGTCCACAGTGTTCCCGGTGAAAAGAGCTCACCTTTGTTCTGAGGGCACATATACCTCCATTTTATTATTTTAGAATTAAAATAGCTTTTACTTATAGAGTGGGAGGATAGTAGGTGCTAGTTATTTCCTTCCTTTTTTTTCTTTCAGTACTGGGGATCAAACCCAGGCAGGGCCTAGGCAAATGTTTTACCACCTGAGCTACGTCCCCAGCCCATTTGTTTGTCTCTTGTTTTGAGATAGGGTGTCACTAACGTTGCCTGGCTGGCCATGGAATTCTCAATCCTCCTGCCTCTGCCTCCTGAGGAGCTGGGATTATGGGTGTGGGCTACTACACCAGGCTAGTAATTATTGGTTTCTAATGGTCTTAATGCACAAGATGGTGGCAACACCATTTCGATATTCACACTAAAATAGTAGTAGTTTGTAAAAACCAAAAACCAGGGGGCTGTTGCCCTGGATTCTTTAGGATATAGGTTTGACCACCTCATTCATTTTCTTTTCTCTTGTTTTTCCAATGGTGCCACAAGTACATAGCCGTTCAGTGAATATACAGAATGTAAACAGAACTGAAATGTCAAGGGGTGACAGCCACATCAGCTGGACAGGACTGGGGATCCCCCAAATTTCCACTTGGGCCTCTCTGGAAAGCAAGCTGCCATCCTTATGCCTGGGGGATTCCAGAGCCTAAGTCTGTTGTGGGGCCCCTCAGAACCTCAAAGGACAGGAGGAGAGGGTGACTCTGGCTGGGAAATGGTGGAAAAACCCTGCCCTTGACCAGGGAATTCCCAGTTGTGATGAGCCCTGCCTTGATCGACTCTCCCTGGAGGATGTGACCAGCAGATGCTGACATTTTAAATGTATATATAGTCATTTAAAGAATTATAAAGTAAACACTCATATACCAACCATTCATTTAATTTCTGTCTTTTTGCAGTGCTGGGGATTGAACCCAGGTCCTTGTGCATGCTAGGCAAGCTTTCTGTCACTGAGTTACCAGCCATTAACCATTCAATTTAAGAACTAGGATATTGCAAAAATACTTTTGAAACCCTCTGGGGCCCTCCCCAGTCATAATACCATCCTCTCCACAAACATGAAGATAACCCTCAATTTTGTGTTTAGCAGAGTCCCCCTTTCCCAAGGTTTTGCTTTCGGTGGTTTTAGTTATCTTTGGTCAACTCTGGTCCAAAAAATGTTAAGTCCCAGAAATAAACAATTCAAAATTTTAAGTTGCATGCTATTCTGAGTAGTGAGATGACGTCTTACACTAATTCTGTCCAAGACATGAATCATACCTTTGTCCAGCACATCTGAATGACATATGCTTTCTGTTAGTGACCCGGCCACCTGCTGCCAACTGTGTGTATCACAGTGCTTCTCGTCAAGTAACCCTTATTTTTCTTAATAACGCCCCCAAATCACAAATGTATCTGGCAATTTCATCAAAGCATATGGCTATAACTGTTCTGTTTTATTGTTATCATTAGTGCTGAAGGTTGAACCCAGAGTCTCTTGAGTGCTAAGCACATGCTGTACCACTGAGCTGCAGCCCTAACTCCTTTATTATCAGCTGTGGTTGGTAATCTTTTACTGTACCTAACATAAACTTTATCATAAGTATGTATAACACACACACACACACACACACACACACACAGGGTTTGGTACTTTCTGTAGTTTCAGGCATCCACTGCATGTACACGTTTAAATCCCTAGTCTGTACATTGCTTAGTTTTACATCTTTCGGTAAACCTTACATAAATGCCTACATTTTGCTTTTCCCCTTTAGCATTAAGGTTGTAAATTCATCCCTCTTGGTAACTGCATCTTATTCATTTTCACCGCCAAGAAATGACAAAATGAGCCAGGCACTGGTGGCTCATGTCTATAATCCTAGTTACTTGGGAGGCTGAGATCAGGAGGATAGCAATTTGAAGTCAGCATACACAAAAAACTCGTGAGACTCTATCTCAACCAATAGCTGCACATGGGGGCACTTGCCTGTCATGCCAAGCTATGAGGGGTGCTGAGGTAGATTGAGATTGGAAGGATCCCAGTTCTAGCCCGAGCAAAAGTTTGTGAGATTCCGCCTCAACAGAAAAACAGCTTGGCATGGTGGCACATCCCTGTCATCCAAGTGACTGCAGGAAGCCTAAAATAGAAGGATTGTGGTCCAGGCTGGCCTGGGCAAAAAGTGAGAAATAAAAGTGATTATTTCCAAAATAATCAGAGTGCAAAGGGCTGGAGACATGGCTTAAGTGGTATCATGCCTGCCTTAGCAAGCGCAAAGCCCTGAGTTCAACGAACCCTCATATTATGAGAGAGAGAGAGAGAGAGAGAGAGAGAGAGATGATTAATTCATCATCATGTATTCATTCCTTTTCCTGTTGATAGATGTTCGGGTGATTTTGAGTTTCTGCTGCTACCAACAGCACTGCTTTGAATAACTCATGAGCCTCTCTTCTGATGCCCGTGTCCAAGGGTTTCTCTACCCAGAGTGCAACTGCTGATGGAGAAGGACACTGTCACCTTTGCTAGGTTGTACCCTTGAGGATCTACCTGCAACTCTGAGAGTGGCTTAAGCTCTACCTTTTGGTTTTGCCAGACCCTGGTGGCTTAGAACGCAACTTCTTCCTGACCCAATTTCCCAATGGCACCTTTGGTGGGGGTTCTCAAACTGCTCAAGTTTTCCTGACCTTCCCAAATCAAGGTAGTACAATTCTCCAAGCCTTTATTGAGTCCAACCATATGAGGCATAGTTTCACAGAAACACTGAGATGAGCAGGACATTCTTTTTCTTCTCAAGACCCTCACAAGATGTTCAGGGAGCCAGGACAAGGGCATAGCTACTGACTCCTCACCCCTGAGGAACCCCTCTCTCCTTCTGACTCAACATTCACCATTGGGTGCTATGGGAAACACAATGCATGGGTGTCTCCTGATGTAGCACGCCAACATCCAACCAGCTACTGGACAGCTGCACCGACTGTCTTCAGGGACCTTAAGTTCCAAAGGGAAGATGTCCATGGGTGCTGGGTGATGTTGACCACCTTACAATGTACAGATACCCCCACAACCAAGAATTGCCAGGCCAAGATATCAGGAATACTGAGGTTGAGAAACCCTCAGAGGTCTTCTTCTGAATCCCTGTCTCATTGGTGGCACCTGTGTTCACCTAGTCCCTCAAACCAGGGAGAGGGGTGTCACCAAAGTCAATCATCTCTGTTCTTACAGTTTAGTCTTCCAAAGTCCTCGCCAACACCTCCAATATCTCACCAACATCTCTCCCCCTCCCCCCCATCTCCTTCATTTTTTTTGTGGACTGTAAAAAACAGATGGGGTCCTAAGTGTGTGTGTCAGTGTGTGACTGGAAATGTCTTGAGATCAGAAACTGAAACCTTATCATTGGTGTCACTGAATATGAAAGCCACATGTTGACGGTAGCAGGGAGAATTATGTTCCCTAAAAATATGGTAACTGTGAGTGTGACTATTGGAAAATATGGTCTTTGCAAGTGTGGTCAAGTTAAAATGAAGTCATACTGGATTAGGGTGGGCCCTAATCTAAAGTTCTTATTGTAAGAAGGAAGAAACTTGGACACGGACACAGAGATATACAGAGAATGTGTATCTCTGTATACATGTGACAATGAAGGCAAATTGGAGAAAGGTAGCTGCTAGCCAAGGAACTCCAAGAGTTTCCAGCAACCACCAGAGGCCAGGATGAAGCAAGGTTTCTCTCCCAGGGAATTTGGAGGAAACGGCTTTATCAATGTCTGATCTCAGATTTCTAGCCTTCAGAACTATGAAAGAATAGATTTTTGCTGTTTTAAAGGTGTCCACTTTGGTGGTACAGGGGTTTGAACTCAGGGCCTCATGAGTGTGCTCTACCACTTGAGCTGTGCCTCCAGCTCTTAAGGCACCACTTTACGACACTTTATCTCAGCAGTTCTAGTAAACTGATCCACAGATCCAACACCAGGCTTGCCTAGTGTATGCACAATGCCTTCCCTTAGTGAGCTTGCTGAGCACTGACACGTTTATAACTTACTTCTCCTTGCTCATAGAG